TCTGAATTCTAGAGAGGACTTGGGTCTATAAAATGACTTGATAATTTAGACAAAAGTAATTCCTCAAAGAGAAGCTATTTGTGTATTCAATACATGCCATGCTAGGTATTCTTTCCTCAAGATGCAAGACCCAGCCCTTGTACTAAAATAGTTAATAGTTTTGTTGGAAAGATACCATGAGATGGACAACTCCTGGTCACCTACGCTAAGTCTAAGAACAGTTCAGGGGGCACCTGGGTGTCTCAGTCGGTTAAGCGTCAGACTCTTGATTTTGACTCAGCATGATCTCATGGTTCATGGGTTCAAGCCCTGCATTTGGCTCCATGCTGACAGTGAGGAGTCTGCTTGGGATTCTCTTTCTTCCTCTGTCTCTGCCCCTCTCCTGTATATTCTCTCTCTCTCTCTCTCTTTCTCTCAAAAATAAATAAATAATCTTAAAAACAAAAAGAGTGATTCAGATTGAGCACCACATCATTGGTGTCTGGGATTTCACATGAAGCCATAGTCAATACCCCAGTTATATGGAGAAGAATTCTCTCATTAAAACTATGTATATTGAGCACTACCATGTGCCAGGTACTAATCTAGACAATTAGGATACCCCTGTAAACAAACCTACCTAATTCACCACTCTCATGGGAACTTACATTTAAGCAGAGGCTTTGTTAGTGATTTTGATAGACTGCATTAGGGCTTATATCCCATGAAGCTTCACAGCATTCATAATAGGCCAGGTGTCTACAGCAAACAGGGTGAGTCACCAGAATTATGTGGAAGAGTCATTCTGAGAAAGTAACGACCAGGGCAAGAAAGTACGTATGACTACCTCTTGCAATTTAAAATCTTGCCTAAGTGTTCTGTTGAAATTTTCTAAGCCGGAGTAATCCATGGACCTAGGGTACTTTCTATGAAACTGCTTAGTATAGAATGGATAGCCCTGATATTGGCTGTGTGAGAGTCCCTGGGGGAGGGATGGTGGGTGGGTGGGTAGGCATTCTGCTGAGCTTAGGCCTGGGGATCTGGGCCCACCTTCTCAGCTCTGCACCCCATCAGCTTTGCAAAAGACAGTTTAGTTCTCAGACTCTCAGTTTCCAATGACCTAAATGCAAACAATTTATAAACTCTGAATTGTTACACTAATGTAAGTATAAATATGCATATTGATGTCTAGATTATTGAATTTTGAGACTGTACTACAGCAAAGGTTACAAAAAGTGTGAAAATTCAAATATACATTGAGAATAGTCAATGCTGGCTTCTTATGTGGTTCTAGTGACTTACTTTTTATATGAACCTTATAAAAAGACATTATTGGTTTATTTTATAGGTAAAATAGCTGAGACTTAGAGGGCTACCTGGAATCCCACAGGCCATGAGATCAAGATCCATAATAATAATAGCAATACTTTTATCGCACCTTTGTTAACATACTGACTCTTCTTCACAACAACACTGTCAGGTTGGAAGATTTTCCAAGCACTGCCAAAGACTCTAACTCCATGAACTCTGTAATTCATAGATCTTGTCTTTCTAGAATTTAATTTCCATATTAAATTTAATTTGTCTATCATTGCCTCAAAGCATCAAGAATAAGCAGAAATAACACCCAGGAAAAGTAGGGTATGTGGCATATACAGCCTTGAGCTTGATGGAGGGAGGGCGAAGGACCACATCACCTGGACTTGTGAGAAAAGAGCTCTGGTCCTGGCCTTTCCTTTTTCCACAGCAGAAATCTTGACATTTCTAAGAGGAGAGTCACTAACAGATCCTAGTTCTCAGAACTCTTTGTCTGCTAATGAAAATGAGCCTTTTTCATTCTGGGCAAGTTATGTTTGAGGTTCCCATCCCTTCCCAAGTGAGATAGCAGGTTCACATTTGGTTCTTCAAGTCTGCAGCTACTTGGTGCCAAGGAGAACAAACAAATAGACAAATAAATAAATATCAAAGGCTGATAGCTCAGGGTCAGAGAGCCTTAAAAGACAGACAGAACTGCATTTTCATCCTCACTCTGTTAAACCTTCACATTGGGGTCTACGGTTTATTTAATCTCATTGAGCCTCAGTTGCTACAATTGTGAAATGGGGATTTATTCAACAGACATGTACAGAATGTCTACACTGTGCCAGATACTGTTGTAGGTACTAGACACAGCCTGGGACAAAACATGCAAAACTGTCACCTTTGTTGAATTTATAGTCTAGTGTAGGTGGGAGGAGCAATGTAGAGAGTCAAGTAATAAACCAATGGAATAGTGAAATATATAGTATATCAAGTGGTTATAAGCATCAAAGAGAAAAACCAGGGAAGGTGCGATGGACTGTCTGCCGAGGGTAGAGTAAGGGAGCCAAGAATGTTGAGGGGTTGAATTTGTAAATAGGATGGTCAAGGAAGCCTTCACTGAGAAGCAAAGATTCTAAGGGAGAAGAAGGAAGTCATCCAAATTCCTGAGAGGCAGTTCCAGCAGATGGAAGAGCTAGTGCAAAAGTTTGGAGGCAGGGACCTGCCTGGTGGAATTAAAATAACAATAATCAGTGTGGCTGAAACAGATTGAATGGAAATCACGAGGGCACGGGGTGGATTTTCAGACTGTACAACTGGAATACTGGAGCTTTCAGTTACAGAAGTGGAAAATCTTGGAAAGGACCATACATGATTTTGAACTGGTTAAGTCTGAGATTCCTAGTGCTGCCCAAGTGATATGTCAAGAAGTCAGGTGGGTAGTCAAGTCTGGAGTCAGTAGAAGGGACCAGGCTGGACATATAAATGTGGTAATTGTCAGGTATTAAAAACATTTCAAGTTAACAGAAGTGGGTCTAAGTAGAGAAGAGGTCGACGTTCTGAGGCTATAGGTCTGCCAATGTTTAAATTTTTTTTTATTGTTTTATTTATTTTTGAGACAGAGAGAGAGAGTTAGTGTGAGCAGGGGAGGGGCAGAGAGAGAGGGAGACACAGAATCTGAAACAGGCTCCAGGCTCTGAGCTGACTGTCAACACAGAGCCCTACGCGGGGCTCGAACCCACGAACCATGAGATCATGACCTGAGCCGAAGTCGGACGCTTAACCAACTGAGCCACCCAAGGACCCCAAGATCTGCCAATGGTTAATGGTCTGGGAAGAGCCAGCAACAAAGTAAGAGAGGTAGAGAAAAGTTAGTAAAGCATCATGTCCTATAAGCCAAGGGAAGAAAGGAAGCTGAGAAAGAAGAGAGCTCCTAGGTCAAATGCTATACGTAAGTTAGTACTTTCCACCTAGCATTATGCATCAATTAAATAAAAACAAACTTTGCACAGCACAGCATAATGCCCATCACAACTCCTGGTACAAAACAAGAACTTAGTCCATACTTTATTTCCTTTTAAAAAACCTACTTGGGGGGGCGCCTGGGTGGCTTGGTCGGTTAAGCATCTGACTCTCACTTAGGTCATGATCTCGCGGTTTGTGGGTTCCAGCCCCGTGTCGGGCTCTGTGCTGACTGCCAGCTCAGAGCCTGGAGCCTATTTCTGAGTCTGTATCTCCCTCTCTCTCTGACCCTCCCCTGTTCACGCTGTCTCTCTCTCTCTCTCTCCTAGAAATAAAAAAAACAAAAAAACAAAAAAAAACAAAAAACAAAAACAAAAAAACCTACTTGGACTTCCCAAAGTAAAATTTAACCCCATTCATAGTTTCATGAAGATATTTTATCGGCTAATAGAAAGCATGGCTTTATATCTCCAAAGACAGTGAAACTCTTAAACTGGAAGAAAGTAAACTATTTCTTAGAGGTATTTCATGAAAAGGAAGATAGATTCTCTTTTACCCGTAAAAGTTATACTTTAATAAATTATAAAACTGAGGCAGTAGATTTGATTTACAGAATTTTGCTTCATAAATGAATTTTTTTAGGAATAATTCATTTTATATCTTAATGGACAGCTGAAAGGAAGGAGAGATGAAAAGAAAATGGAATAAAATGAGACAATCTTCATGTTTGCTCTGTATGATACTCTGCCTGGTGCTTTATAAGTACATTTTCCTCAGTTGGCACATTAACCCTGCAGATTGAAAATGGCTCGTTCTAAACAGTGGAAATAGAGTGTCCAAATGTCTCTGCAGTGGTGATACCTACCAGGCTAGGTGTGGGCTGTGAGGCCGGCCATGCAAGCATTTTCTCCAAATGCCAAGAGCCATTTATACTAAGGGAGAAGCTCTATTATTTACACTGAAAAGTAAAATGACCAAAAGATGGAGATATGCATTTGTCCCCAGTGGTGTCTTTAGCCAATAAAAATTTTGAAATGATGTGAAGAAGTAAATGCAGAATCAGAATTTTCTATTTCTTCTGACTCAAATTCTTCTTTTCTTAGTTGAAGACAAGGAAGGCCAATGACTTTCTTCTAATCACATAACCAGATGACAGGAAATGTTTTGGGAGTAAAAACAGATCTCTGCTTTGGGCTTGTGATGCCCACTCACCACACCTGTGAGCAGGTGAGCCCAGAGTATCACAGAATGTGCCCACCATGTGTCATCTGCAGACTGGATTTTCTGCAGAGTAGACTGTCAGAAATGGCCTTAAGGCCTTGCCTGTGGAGAATAATACAAATATTGAACATAGATATTTTGAATAATCCTGGTAATAATCATGAATTTAGTTTGCACAGGACACTGAGTTCTTCAAGGCCACCATTACTTAGTAGGGTTCTGTAAGCAGCTGTAAGATCAGATGCTTGTGTCTGATGGTGTTTAGTAGGACAGGAAGAGAGAGTGAACCCTGGTCTTGGTACCTGTACTGTGTCACATGATAGTTTAAGAACCTACTTTTTAAACATCTATTCTTCTAAAATGTAAAATTCTCTGAGAGCTGAGAATATGTCTACAGTTGCCAAAAGTGTAATCCCCACCAACTGGTTTATGATTGGTACACAATAAACATCTGCTTTATTTCACAGACCTGCCAACCCTCAATTCCATCACAGGCTATAGAGCTGCACACATAGACTACTTTTAATGTCACCAATTTAGTGCTCACTTCAACAGCACATATACTAAAATCGGAATGATACAGAGAAGATTAGCATGGCTGCTGTGCAAGAATGACACATAAATTAATGCTACCAATTTAGACCAAGAGATAGAGAGATGTGAATAAAATTGCTCAGGAAAATGTAGAGCCACGTACTTTGAAATTCAGAATCTTCGTGTGGGGTGGGGGGGTGGTGATTGTTGAGCCTACTGGACTTTATGCTCTGTGAGAGCAGGAATTGTGTTTATCTCATTCACAGTTTTATCCAAGAGGCTTCATAGTATCTGGCCTGTATTATTATTGTCAATAATTGTATTTTAAACAAACAATTTATCACAAAAGGTACTTGGTGAATAGCAATGATGAAAATGGACTGAATCAGCCATAAGTGCTACAAATAAAGGTACTCACAAGGGCCTTGTGATGTGTTCCACTGGATGAATTTCTCTTCATCTTTTTTTGTGTAATGAATAACTTATTAGGGCTGAGCCCTCAGCAAACAACCAAGATATATTATTCTAAGACAGAATTTACCCAAAGAAAATAAGAGATGTAAAAAAAAAAAAAAAAGATCTTAAATTAATAGAAAACTGGCTGAGTCAATAGAACAGTTAATGTAAAAAATTGTGTTCAGAATCTGATTATCTAAAATATTTGTATTTATTGTTATCTTGAATCTCTATGCAAAATGTTTTGAGAATGGTCTTGTGAAACTAGCTATTTCAATAACACCTTGGAATGTTTAAATACCAAATCTTTGTTGAATTAAATGTTCTACATAGTGGTTAAGCAGAGGCTAAACTGTTTAGGACTTTATATGAAACTAGAATTTTCATCTTCAATTATATCTGTATGGAAATATTCATTTAGAGCTGTCAATGGCCTCACTGAGATGTAACAGTGGCCCTCAATGCTGAAGAAACAGTAGTATCAATAATGGTTTTCATCCCCAGGAACTGTATATGTGTATACTTTGTTATACCAGTGGTTTTCTTAGAGCTGCAATATCAGTTATGGGTAATAGTCCAGTAAGAACAGAAAAAAATGATACAGTTTATCGTTCCTTCTTTATTCATGAATCAGGCTATGTCTGATATTCAGCTGTGTAAGGATAAAACAAATTAGTGTATTAATCTCATAAGGGCAGAGATTCTTAATTGTTATCTGGAACTAAAGAAAGGTCAGTGAAGTCCCTCTACTTGGTCCAAAATGCCAAAGAGAGCTACACTTCAGGTTGGATGCATGTAGTTAAATGAAGCATATTTATTTTCCTGGGTTAATTTACTTTTGGAAATTTACCAACCTGCAACGTGAAGAGAATTAAATGAAGATAACGATGCAAACTAATTGGCACTGTGCCTGGTTCAAATAGGCACTTGGAAATGTTATTTTTGGCCCCACACTCTCTTTTTCTTGCTTCATCTGGAAAGCCTTGACTCATGACTATTCAGCTACATTATATCTCAGCATCATGACTGCCCAACTCCCTGAAAGGCATGCCTTCAGATGTTGACCCTAAGTATCTTCTCCTTAGTCCTTCTCCTCATATCTCCTCTTCTTTCTTTACTCTAATTAGGACATTCGAGTAGTTAAAAGTAGATTAGTTACAACATGATAATGATTAGGCCACTGGACACAAAAAAGATGCTAAGTAACAACTGGAAGAAAAAGAAAGAAAGAAAGAAAGAAAGAAAGAAAGAAAGAAAGAAAGAAAGAAAGAAAGAAAGGGAAAGAAAGAAGGAAAGAAAGAAAAAAAAGAGGAGGGGAGAGGAAGAAGGAAGGAGGGAAGGAAGGAAGGAAGGAAGGAAGGAAGGAAGGAAGGAAGGAAGGAAGGAAGGAGGGAAGGAAAGATCCTATAATGTTATAGGCCATTGCTAACGTGTAATATTATAGCTAAGATATCAAAGAAGCTGACCCTTTCCTTTTGTAGTTTCCAGAACCCAGACCTGGGTTAAGAGGATCTTGTTTCTATAATAAATATGCTTGTTCTAGGAATAGGAATAAGTAAGATGTCTTGCTTCTCCAAAGTGATTCTTGGACAAAAAGTCTTCATAAGCCACCATCCCTAACAGTAGTTGTGGCCAGGTCCTGACTGGAAGTCTCAGGGTGACTTTGACCAGATGAGGCCAAAGCAACCTAATGACCTGTTAGTCTCCTGTTAATAACCTTTCTTTAGTTCTTAGAAAGCTCTCTTTCTAGCAAAAGACTCTGTGTCAGCCTTCCTATATTATCTTTAGGTTCCAGTTTGTTTTGGTTATTTTTCTGGGTTTTGTTTTGGTTATCTATCAGTCTTTAGTTGCAACTCTAAGTTTTGGTTTTGGTTTGAGATTTGTTTATCCTCTAGGTCCTAAGTCTGACCCTCATTGTATTTCTGAACTTAGTGCTGTTAGGGTCTTGGTTCCAGGTATTTGTCTACTTACTTTAGTTCCTTTGCTTCCTCTGACCTTTGCTTTTGGGAGGGAAATGTTTGTCTTTCAAATTTCCTTTAATACTCAAAATTTATTTAATTACGTTCTTTTCCAAGAAGACTTTCCCAATCCTCTCAATTAGAATAAACTTCTTCCTCCTTGGCTCCAGTGTTTTTGTATCTCAAGGATTTCTCCACTTTTGCCTTAAATGTGAAATTAATCTTGGAAGCAAGGGTCTCCATGTAAGCCTATGCCTATGTAATGTCCTAGCCAGAAGAGCACCCTCAATTGACTGAATTTAGGTGTTGTCCATTTAACCTCTGTGATGCCTTGTAGTGGTCACAGTTCAAGTGCCAACTGTGGATGTTATCCAAATTAAAGCCTTAAGACATAAGGCATACCAGAACAGACCTGCTGAAGTCAGACAAAGGACGAGACTCAAGTTCAGAATGAATTTCTGAAAAGATTTGAGATCAAGGTGCATGCAGTCAGGGATTATATGGATGGAATGCCCATGGATGTTTTCTAGTTCCCATAAAACAATGAGAAGGAATATCAGTTGAAGTTGAGATTAACTGCAAAGAAATCTAAAAGAACTACCACTTCTTACAGTGAGTAATTGCACTTAAGTCATTCTTCTAATTTACCACTTCTTAAGAGGTCTATGTAAATTTACAACTGCCCCTTCAATATCCTTCAGAAAACCAGCTGTGATATGGTAGAAAGAGAACTTGAATTGGAAGCAGGCAGTCTGATTTAGGACCTGGCTTTCCATTACCAGATATGTGAGCATGGTTAAGTCACTTAAATGCTCTGATTTTCATTTTCCCCTTACAAAGTGGGATTATAGTAGATCTTTCTGGTGCCCCTCCCCATCCCCTTTTTCTCTCAGGCCATGCACCCTTCCCTCAGCTGGTAGAAGTGCTGGCTGATAATGACTCATAGCTGTCCCCTTGCCATAAGAAATGGTCTTCTCTGCGGTGGTTAATACACCACACTCCCTTCCTCTGATAGCTCACAGTCAGTGAGTAGTTGGCATTGGTGATAAGGAGCAATAAGGTCAGTTTCAAGTAGTTTGCATTAAATAAGATAACATACATGAATATGTCTGGGGTGATAAGGTAAGTGTTAAAATTTAAAAAAAAAGAAAAAGAAAACTAAGAAACTGTAGTCTTATATTGCTAATTGATAAAGTTAAACTCATGATGTCAAGGAGTATAGTCATGACCTCTTACATTTTCTGGGTCAGAACCCGGAGTGGAAAGGTCGGCACATTTAAAAGTGGGGGCACCTGGGTGGCTCAGTCGGCTAAGCATCCGACCTCAGCTCAGGTCATGATCTCACCACTTGTGGGTTCGAGCCCCCTGTGCTGACAGCTCAGAGCCTGGAACCTGCTTCCGATTCTGTCTCTCTCTCGCTCTCTGCCTTTCCCCAACTCACATTCTATCTCTCTCTCAAAAATGAATAAATGTTAAAAAAATGTTTTTTAAATGGCAGCATTTATGTTTTCATACATGGCACAAGCTTTCTTTTTTTCTTTTCTAAAAAGTTCTTTCTTATGTTTTTATTTTATTTTATTTTATTTTGAGAGAAACAGAGAGACAGAGAATGAGTATGGGAAGGGCAGAGAGAGAGGGAGACACAGAATCTGAAGCAGGCTCCAGGCTCTGAGCTGTCAGCACAGAGCCTGATGCAGGGCTCGAACCCACGGACTGTGAGATCATGACCTGAGCTGAAGTCGGATGCTTAACCAACTGAGCCACTCAGGTGCCCACAAGCTTTTTAAATTATTAGAAGAAATGCTGCCTCACGGCAGTGCCAATAACAGGTGAGATAGAGGGATGTTGTCCTCCATGTCGGGCTGTCTTCCTTACCAACTTCCTAGCAAATTACAAATATTCATACTTTCAAATAGTATGAGCTTCACATAGCTCGTCACTACTCTTGACCCATTAGAAGCTGATTTAAGATTTAGTTTTATTCAGGTCTTCAAAATAAGCAACCCTAAGGAATTCTCTCAGCAAAAGACAGTAATAACAACTGTACTATTTATTGAATGCCTACTGTGTGTTGATTGCTCTTCATACACTCATCACATTGGTTACGTTTTGGTTGTTATAATTACCCCAAATTTGCACACGAAGAACTAGAATTTCCTTTATTTACTGACTCGCCGATGGTCATACCTTCAGACTAAAGGTTGGAAGCCAGGTTTATCTGACCACCCAGTCTACTGTGAAGAAGCTGAATTAGAGCTTCTTGAAGGTAAACCCGTGTCCGTGTTTTTATTTTATATTTAAAGCCAGGCCTAACCAGAATATGGAAGAGGAGTAAGTATCATGGTATAAATTTCTCTTAGCTCAAATATTTGCAAAGAACCACCAAGGGGATTACTAAAGGAGGGCTATTGTTTATTGGTGAGTCATAAAGGAGAAATTGAGTGGCACAATTATTTCATAAAATATAAGAATGGAGGCTAATGTGAAGGATTGTTCTTAATACTGTTCCCACATATTTGGCAGCTTGAGACATGATATCCTCCCAACCCTGGGTGCAAGACTGCTCAAATTTTCAGTGTCCTTGAGGGTACATGGTTCAAAAGTAAGAAAGCGATGTGAGTAGTGATGGGTTTGGCAGACTGCAAAGATAAACACAGGCTACCAAGAGTGGGATCAGGTTAACCTGAGTAGAG